AGGAAAGCTTAGGGTCTGAGCTGAGGGCTGGTGTGAGCGGAGACTATTGGGAAGGACATGTTGTAGGGAATAACCGTTGTGCTGCCTGTTGGGTCAGTATTTGCCACCATACTTTGCGCTCACCAATGCCTTTGTTGATAATTCACAAACTGATGTGTAGCCAACATTTTACAGCAGATCTTCAAATATTGTTGAAGAAATAATTATCCATGCAAATCACATATCATCATGTAAGACATCCAAAGGCTAAGAACAAGGGAGTGTATTTGAGTCTATGTATGTGTGTATGTGTGTGTGTTTTCATTTTTAAGGAGGCATTTAGTTGTCTTCCCACCTAGGACATAGGGCCAAGAAAATGGATTTGGGCTGGGCACGGTGGCTCACGCCTGTAATCCCAGCACTTTGGGAGGCCGAGGCGGGTGGATCACAAGGTCAAGAGATCGAGACCATCCTGGTCAACATGGTGAAACCCCGTCTCTACTAAAAATACAAAAAATCAGCTGGGCATGGTGGCACGTGCCTGTAATCCCAGCTACTCAGGAGGCTGAGGCAGGAGAATTGCCTGAACCCAGGAGGCGGAGGTTGCGGTGAGCCGAGACCGCGCCATTGCACTCCAGCCTGGGTAACGAGAGCGAAACTCCGTCTCAAAAAAAAAAAAAAAGAAAAGAAAATGGATTTGGATAAGTCAAGCTTAGGGTCTAATGAAGGAAAGTCTTTATATGCAACTGTCTTTATTACATCTATCATTTAAATTTCTTCAGTAGGGTCTATATGAAATGAGTGTCATGTGTACTAACCAATCAGTTAGTTCCTTTCTTCAAAATCCAGGCAAATCCTTAACTTATGTGATCTGTTCCTCAGAAGTCTATAATTTTCCCTCCCAGAACTTACTGCAATCTGTCATTATTCTGTTTATTTTTCACTTTTTTATCTGCTTGCCCACTAGAACTGCACTGTACAATATGGTAGACAATAGCCACATGTGAGAGTTTAAATTCAGTTAATTCATTAAAATGTGATTCCTTAGTCATACTGGCCACATAGGAAATACTCAGCAGCCACATATGACTAATTGCCGTCATATTGAGTATCACAGATTTAGACACTTTCCATTATTGCAGAGAGTTCTATTGAACAGTGCTGAGCACCACACATTTAGTCCTCATTATTCATGGTCCTGATATGCATGAATTTCAGTTACCATGATTTTCTTAATCACCAGTCCCCAGCAACTTGGTTTAAATTTCAGTTACCGTGATACATTAACTGAATTGCATAAAGCACAAATTTTGCCATTAGCTCTTCAATCCAAAAATCACTACATAAATAAAAGGTGTGCCTGATGGTCAGCAACCAATTGCATTACTTCTTTCCAAGTCTGCCACTGATTGGTCTGTTCTTCAGCTCATGCACACACAGCAAAGCAAGTAGTTGTGCTGCCCCCTTTTGTTTTCCCCCATATCATGGGGCCATGTAACATATAATAAAACTGGAGCATTAATAGAATTGGCCAACAAGGATGAAAATGCAGCAAAGAAACAAAAAAAATGCTAACACTGGAAGTGAAATTAAAATAAGACATCAATGGAGTCATCAAAGAAGTAGCTGACAGTGGGAATGACATTGCCCTCATTTGAGACTGCAGTTGTGTCACCAGAGAGATGCAGTGAAGGCACATGTATCAACATAAATACAGGGAGAGGTTTTGAGGAAAAGGATAAAGCTGTCTCAGAGAAAGTGACAGTGGGGGAAAAAAAAGAACACTTCACATTAAAGGAACTCTGGGGGGTATTTCACAATAATAAAAACACAAATGATAAAATATTGGAAGCTTGGACAATTTGCCAAAAGCATAGAAGATGTTTATATCATTATGTTATATGATGAATAAAAGAAGGCAAGCACTGTTCAAATGCCTCTTGATATCTTCTTACAAAAAAAGATCCAGTTTAATTCTCAAGGGTTCTAATGGTTTAAATTACTGTGTACTAAATAGAATATCAAATTTACCACACAATTTCATGTCCCTATACATCAATAACGGACAGTAAGAGAGTATTTAAGTTTTGACAAAAATAGTTGTAGGTCATGGAAGAAGTATAATTTTTCTCATTGATTGCAGAGTTTCTGCTTGCATGGTCACATTTCCAGTCCTGCACCACCATGCAGAGGAAGGCTACCCGTAATGCTAACTCTGAACCTCTACTCTCTCCTCTCTTGAGGAATGACAAAGGTTTGTCAGTTCTAGAATGGCCGCTCCATCTTTGGTAGGGACCATGTCAGTCATATTCACCATTGTACTCTAGCACCTAGGGCAGTGTCTGCCTAGATTAGGAAGTTAATAATAGCTGCTGAATGAAGAGTGAAAAGGACACTCCTTCCTGTTTCCTTTAAGTGGGAGACAGGAAGGAGTCATTGATCATTAATGAAAAAGCAAGATAGGCAATGGAAACTAATCAAAATGAAAACAGCAGAAATAATACATGGTTGGAGGTTACCAAGAGAGCTCAGTTCCACCAATCCCACATACATCCACTACGAAAGTGAATTCTGCCTGTGGTAGTGAATGATGCCACAAATGGCATAGAATTTTGGTCCAGACTTTAGAGTAGAAAATGCAGATTAACACGGAGAATGAAAAAGTAACCCGAAACAAAAACCCCAAAACCCAGTGCTCTGAAATTAATGTGTTACAGAAAATTGAGATGCAGTGATAAATATAGACAATTTCGCGGAAGGCAGCGGGTTAATTTGAAGTTGAATGGTGCAGTAAGTTACTTTGGATATTTGATTTTCTCTCTGTGATATAGGATTTAAGCCATTCCATTATTTTGTGTAGCAACAAATATTGGATAAAGACAGATTGCTCTTCTGTGGATCTCCTATGTATAGACTTCGAAATTAAAAAGTGAGATGCATAGGCCAGGGTGTAGGTGGAATAAATAAAAAGTTCTTAACTTAATGATATTCAAATTGTTATGAATAAAAATTCAGTTCAGGCTGGCCACAGTGGCTCACGCCTGTAATCCCAGCACTTTGAGAGGCCAAGACAGGCGGATTACGAGGTCAGGAGATCAAGACCAGACTAGCCAACATGGCAAAACCCTGTCTCTACTAAAAATACAAAATTACCCGGGTGTGGTGGTGCGTGCCTGTAGGCCCAGCTACTCAGGAGGCTGAGGCAGGAGAATCGCTAGAACCCGGGAGGTGGAGGTTGTAGTGAGCTGAGTTTACGCCACTGCACTCCAGCCTGGGAGACGGAGTGAGAGTCAGTCTCAAAACCAAATAAAGCAAAACAAAAAAATTCATTTCAAAAGGTGAGATTGTTAGTCTTTGATCTGTCAAAGCTGAGAAGCTATTCCTGCAATCTGACTTTAAAAGAAGATTTGGGATGTTTCATACAAATTTGTTTTTCATAGCTTTTGCATTGGTAGAGGGGGAGTTAGTACTGAAATCTATAAAGCCAAACTGATAGCTAGTCTCACATACCCACAGGCATGTGGGCGTGCGCGCATGCACCCACCACCCGCCCCCCCCCCCCCTACCATGCAATCTATACAAATCAAAATTGACCATTGTGAAAGCAAAGACAAAATCAGGTTAGAGACAATGTAATATTCATGGTATTTTTTCCCTTCTCTTTTTTGTCTTTTTTTTACTTTTTGTTTTTGGTTTTGTTTTTTGTTTTGTTTTGTTTTTTTTTTGAAACGAGGTCTGTGTTGCCCAGACTGATCTCAAACTCCCAGGCTAAAGCAATCCCTCTGCCTCAACCTCCCAAGTACCTGGGATTACAGGCACATACCACTGTACCCTGCAATATTAATGTACTTTGATCCCCAGGAAGGTTTCTAAATGTTTGGAAGAGATAAGGAATAACTTGAACATAGGTGATTTGTTTTCAATTTCAAAAACCGCACAATTTTGAGTGGTGATAACCAGTCAAAAGGAAAAAACAGCCCCGCCTCCACTGCCAAATCAAGGATAATCCAGGCAGGATAAATTAGAGCACTGTCCTGAGTCACTCGGAAGTAACATTCAGAGAGTTTGATAACAGGCATTTAGAAATATATAAAAGCAGAACACGAACAAATGAAGATTGTCTTTCCTAAGATAAATGAAAGATAAATTTTATAGCCAAAGGAATTGAGCCATTGTAGTGTTGCTATAGCTAGTGATTTCAGGCTTTCTTTTTGGAAAATAATTTGTGATTAGACTCATTTCTGCTGACCTTAAGGTCAGTGGGATCTGTGTTAATATCTGAGCAGTTACATTCATTTTTGGATTTTTTTTCTCAAAGCTAATGCTATGTGGTTGTTGATCTGAGCACTGTCTTTCCACATCAGTCATATCCCTTCTGAGCAATCCACTTAGGTGAAATATGCTGGCACTGACACTCAGGTACAAGGACAACTGTGGTCAGAACAACTCCCTGAGCCAAAAGCAAAGCTCATAAACAAAATACTAATAACCTTATAATACAGTGAAAGATGAAACAAAGAAGCCCTACATTGTGGACAATGGTTTCTTTGGAGGTTGGGTTCATAGGTGAGTTTCACTTTCTCCATTTATTTCCGTAATGTTTATTTGATAATACTGAGGAACTCCCAACTTTTAAAATGCCAAACCGTTGTTGTGGTTATGTTTAAAAGTTCTCACAGGATATTCTTACTGAAATATTCATGGGCTAAGCACTATGATGCCTGGGACTTGCTTCTAAATTATACAGTGTGAGAGGAGGTGATACAGAAAAGAAGACTAGACATGAATCGGTACCTGATGGGTCCACATGGATTCATATGATTGTGTCTACTTTTGTTTGAACGATTTCTGATAAAAGAGTAATAAAAATGGTAGGAGATCAACTTGGAAAAGTAGACTGGGGACTAAATGTAAAGAATTGTGAGTGTAAGGAAGGTTTATTCTCTAGTTCAGCGCCCTCCAGACTTCAGTGAATGCAACCCTGCCTGCAATATTGTTGCATGCATGCACCAGGCATATGCTTATTTATTCATTCATTTATTTATTTATTTAAAATTATGTACATGTACCATTGTACTATTATGCCATTATAAAACATACACAAACATAAAAAAGCTAGATAAAAATAAGCACAGGTATTGTTCTAATATGTTCTTGCTATACTCTATGGACCTGGACCCCAGTTAGGAGCCCCATGCTTAGTGAATGCGGGGGCCCCGTGAGGTTTTCTGAATAGCAAAGAGTTTATTTATAAGAAACAGAAACTTACTGGCGCAGTAATGGGAGGTTGATTAGAAAGACCCAGAGCTACTTCCCTGAGGCTTCTCAAAGAACTCGTAATGGACTGGGAAGTTGTTCTAACTAGATATGAGACTTGAACAAGGATGGTCACTTCCTTGTACACTTCTTTTACATATATGCAATCCACATAATGTGTTCTGCACACAGTCAGGATACAATATGCATACAAAACAAACATTCCCCCACATATTTTGGGCAATATATTGAACACAACGATTATGGTGATAATAGCTAACATTAATTGAATACTTACTCTCTGCCAGGTATTGTGATAAGAACTTTACATACACATTTTTACTCAAAACTCATGAAAACCCTATGAAATTGATCTTATAACTGATTTTCATTTTATTGTGAGGAAATTGAGACGTAGAAAAAGTAGCTTTCCCAACATGAAAGGGCTAGAAAATGGCAGAGTCAAAATTTAAATCAAGATGTTTCTGACCCCAAACTTCATATCCATAACAATGCAACCATATTGCCTCCAGAGAGAATAAAGGATAGTGTCCAAACCAGCAGACTGTTGTGATGATTAAATGAGATAATATAGTTAATATGCTTAGCACACTGTCTGACATAGGGCACACATCCTATTAATAGGTTAGGATTTTAGTACACAGAATGATATTTACTAAGATTTTCCACAGTAAACACCACTAATATCTCTCAATATCAAAACACCAATATTTATAATTGTAATAATGTTTTATTATTTAGTTAAACATTATTTATAATAACACACCCTAAACTCCTTTCCTTTGCTGCCACCCATAACCACGTGTGGGTTTTGTTGTTGAGTCTCTGTGGAATGGTTGACTAGAGAGAAATTGCAATTGTGGACTATGTTAGGCCTCCTTCTCGGTAGGCTATAAAAGTAGAAATATTTGCATCTGGTGTACTCCCATCATGATCTTAAGGAGCCACCTATCTATGTAGGAGTGCATGTAACTTGAGCACTGAATGACCCAGGAAATACATATATACATGTCGATTTTATTTTATGACTGCAGGGTACTTTTAGAGACATGACAGACCTGGAAACTTCTTTGCATTCCATTGGTTTCATTTGAACTGGTCAAATATACCACTTCCACTTCTTTTTTCCAGATTTCATATTTTTATTAGCCAATCCAGATTAAGTATTTACTATTTACTATTTATTTACTCATGGCTCCCATGATTACAGTAGCCATCTCTCCCTGATTTTCTGGAACATCCAAGATTTGAGATTTTGTCCCAGTACTAGGCTATAATTCCAAATTTGACTGGCAGCCTTAGCCCCTGTACAGGTGGTGATGCATGAAGCCCTATGCTGAGAGCCGTGATCTTAGATGAGACTCATAGGTGCTGGTGTATGCTCTGGTCTACACTGCTGAATCTGTACTTAATTTTGATGATCATTAAATGTTCCTTTTTGTAAGTTTGCAAATACTTTACTAAATGTCCCACCACTCTAAAGGGAATTTTAAGTTTCATAGTTGAGCTGGGGTGAGGGGAAGATAATGTCTTTGGTTTGGAGATTTTTGTCATTTAGCCAAAGCAGATCTCTCCATCAATTAATTTTGGTATTATTCCATATGTTTTATGTAATGAGATATTATATAACTCTAGGTGTTACCTAGGAAACTGCCCATCATTCCCTCTGTTCTTCTCCCTGGGAAGTTTTTTAAATGCTGGAAACACTGTGAAGAGCATTTGTGCTGACACAGTAGAATACGCCCCACCCATTTGTAGCCCAAATAGCGAAAACTCAAATTAAATATGTGGGATTCTTGGAAGAACGCATCCAGTAACCAAATACTATGAGCAAAAAATTAATTTATTACAGATATATTCTCTAGTAATTAATAGCTTCTTGAATTTTAAATGTCTTTTTGCTATTTCCAATGCTTAAAAATCATAATTTTAAATAAGTACTGTTTTATATACATTGTGATTTCTTTTCTCTTTTTTTGTGTTTTACTTGTAAATAGGAATGATATGGTCTCCAAGTATCTACTTGGAAAGAAAGGGGATAGGATTCGTTGTTTTGCTCTGACATGGTGGAATTTAAAATTTCACATCGTGTATGTGGGGTTTTAAACTATATGAAAAATAGCCAAATGTCATCACTTTCTTGGATATTTCTTTTACGTGTATATATATGTATAATATAAACAGAATACATCTGATTAGTACATTTCAACATTTCATCAATGTGACTTTTATCTCCTATTTTATATAAAATAACAAATATACAGAGAAGAAAGGAGACATCTGTTCATCATACACACAAAGTAAATAAAAGTTCATGTATGGCTTTGCAAAGGTAGATTATGACGTGACTTCCATATTTATTTGTTTAAAAGCCTCTTGAGAGAACGTGTCAGTGTGCTTACGAGAGCGGCCATGGTGGTTGAATGTCGCGCCGAGAGTCCAACATTAGGGTCCCCAGGGTTTTTTCCAGTGGCTGCTTCGGCAGCTTTCAGGAGACAAATGTAATTTATGACCACTTCATCGATCTTCCCTACAATTTCCTGCCGCTGTGTTTCTGAGTTCACGACTTTAACTAATCGCATGCAAGCTTCCGTTAGGCAACAGAGCACTTGAAAGCTGGAAGTCATAGCTAGGAGCATCTCCTCCGGGCTTTTCTCAGCCATCGCCATTTTCCTACAGGCACTTCCCAACTGTCTGGACTCGATGGATAACAGTTGCTTGTACTGAGAAAGTGTAAGGTCATACGCTTCAGGGCGTGACTCCTCTCTCTTCTCCTTGGTTGCCCTGACGAGACAGAGCAGCTCATTGGCATCATTTTGGGCTGCAAGGAACCCATCAGGCATTGTATATGTGCTCTCCTTTAGGGCATTTATTCTTGCAATCCGGGCATCAAAAGCCAGGTTGCTGAAGTCCAAGTCATCTGGGCCGCTCAGGTCTTCTGCCCAGACCTTCAGCACTGACCCTCTGGATAGCTCCCCTCCTTGCTTCTGAATCCCCCCCGCAGCCACTCGTGGGCTGCTTGTTTCTGGCATGGCTTGAGTCATCTGTGGTCTATAGAGGCAAGAGACCTGGACGGTGGCCTCTTCCCTCTCTTCCTCCTCCTCACCATCTTCATCCTGCCCTCGGTTCAGGAAGCAATAGCTGAAGGGTCCCCGACATCTCCAATTGCTGCCGTCCAGCTTCCGCAAGGGTAATGTCCTATACAGCTTTGAGTCTTTAAGAGCCACTGGGGACCTTTTGTGAAACCTCCCCTCAGAGCTCAAGTGCATCAAGCTTTGGGAAAAACTTTTGGTGAGCTTCCTCCCCAGGGGGAGTTCTGCTCGCCTTTCAGAACTGGCCTCCTGTGCTTCTGTGATGCCTGGACACTTTAAGCTGACTGCACCCTTGGTTCTTTCTCGGAAGGTCTCCAAATCGACAGATCCGGAGAGGATACTGCTGCTATGTCTTAGAGCCTTCTGGCTGGGGGGTGTCCTGAGGCTCCCCCCTCTCAGATCCAGTGGCCGCCAGCTCACAGCCTCTCCGTATGCCTGATTTGCTTGGGAGAAATCATTAGGGTCTTGATTTGGAATTGGCACCTTGGATTCCGAGTGAATATTTGATGGTAGCAGGATGGGATCAGCTTCAGGATGTTGAGACCAAGCTGAAGGCATGCCTCCTCGTCTTTCCTTCCCAGGCTCTGTCAAAGCTACACTAGGGGTAGTAGAAAAACAGAGAGAATCATTAAGCATCTCCTGTGAGGCCACTTTTACCACATCTCTACATGATGTCTGTCATTCCCAAGGATGTAGTCTGGAAGGGCTGCCATATACCAAGGTCACCCTGCTTTCCAAAGATTGCCTCTTGATACCTCATAGCAAATTTCCATTTTAATGAATATCAAAATACTGGAATCTGTTATTTCTGGAACTGATGATTCATTTGGAATTGTCTAGAAGTCCCAAACATTTTCAAGGGGACAATGTTATTTCATGAATTGCCTTGCTCCCAATATCTACCTTTCAAAGTTTAGACACAGAAGACACAGATCCTATGTATAGATTATTCAAATATATTGAAGATATCAAGTTTCATTTCAAGGGAATTAGGTTAAACCTGGTGTCAGTTACTTTCTCCTTTTTAAAGAAGTGGGCTAATTAATGCAAATGAAATAAACAAATCTTTTAAAGAGGAGAGAGTATGAGGTTTGCCTGGTACAAGGTCTGAAGTTAAGATACTGGGCCAGTTGCTCAATTTTTTTCTTTAAGAAAAGCTGTGATGTGAAGCAAATAATTCCCGTCTCACAAAATTTTTGTGACAAGCAAGAGGTAACTCAGGTGAAAGTTCTTTTTAAACCATGAAGGATTAAATAGTGTGATTTCGTTAGTTTAGAGGTAAAATGCAGTTGGGGTGATGACATAGGTAACATTTACAGATAGCTTTTCCAAGGCAGGTAAAGCCAGTGGTGGGTTTTCAGAGAGTAGAAAATCTTAAAAGAACAGGAATAGAAAATGACGAACTCAAGATCTCACTAACTTGTATTGACCTGTATGAAAAAGACACTATTGATGACATAATTTGAAACACGGAAGTATGAAAGAGTATCTGTTTTTGCCATGTGGTGGCCAGCCAAGTGGATCAATGAGGGGAATGCGTGCCATTTAGTGGTGGGATGGTGAAGGTGGGATACAGAAGGTAGATGTGTTGTTTCTACATGTGTTTATACTTTATTATTTTGGGGAAAATAAAGCAGCTCATCAGGTATAACCTCAACATCTTCCTGACATTGGAGTATGTCAGACACTTCAGAACATCCATTTAGGGCAATCTTACAGAGTAGGGAGCAATCAGTAAGGTTGCTCAAAGGGAAATGAGCTCTCCAAACCCCTCTAGTCTCCCTGATACCCTGTTCTCTTATCCTTCCTTGTGGCTCAATAATGGAATGGCAGAATTAGAAATCAGATGTCTTGGGAAGAAAATCAAACTGTTACGTGACTCTAAGCAATACTATCATATAGAATCTGCATTTAGAATTTAGGAAAAACATATTGCCCCATCAAATTCTGAAAGCAAGCACAGAGCAAGATTATAAAGAGCAAATACCATTTTCAGTTTTATAATCTTTAGTATTTAATACCAGGGGATCAAGGATTGGTACTTTACAGTTCTGTGGCCTTTTAAAATTCTACCTTTTACTTTTCTTCCAGACTTTGTTTTTAAGTTTGTTGTAAATACGGTGCTAAATAAAGTGCTAAATCCATCATGGCTGTACCTGTGGTTTCCTTAATCTTGGGGAGCCGATGGCATCCATCTCTCAATGTGCCAAACAGGGGTTCGGTGTTAATGGCTGTGTGCAGAGCAGGCACTGTCATCCGTGGACACATCCCTTCTGTCTGTGGGTGCAGTTCCTTAAAGGTGGCTCCATGGTTGGGAAGCCCAGGGGCTCGCTCCTCTGAAGGAATGTAATTCACACCTTTCCCAGAAGTGTCAGGAATCAAGTGCTTCCCCAGGGAGGGACAGAGCGGGGACTCCACGGGTGTGGCGCAGGCACTGCCACTGCTGCCCGTGCCACAGCCTGCATCCACTGAAGAGCCTTGGGAGCTCTGCAGAGAAAAATGGCCCTCGCTTTGCAGCGATGACATCCGCTTGGCTAAGTGGTAGTCGCAAAGGCGGGCCACACTCTCATCAGCCTCAGGAAGCTTGGAAGGATGGTCGCAGGTGGACGAGTCAGCGTCCTCTGGGTTATCTAAGTCTTTGGCTGAAGATGCACAGGTCATGTCAGTTAAGAAGCGGTCCCCTTGACCAAGTCCTGAGCCATCACTGGCCTCTCCATCAGGAGCTCCTTCTTCCTTCCCTTCGGCCTCCCTTGCCCCAAGACCAGAAGCTCTTGGAAAGGTTTTCCCCGATGTTGCTTCCAATCCACTTTTTTCAGCCATCCCACCTTCAGCGGTCACATACCATCTTTGGCTGTCCTTGCGAAAGGCAGTTCTCTCCAGGTTAAAAGTGCTCAGGTGTTGACTGTCTCGTGAAGACACAGTACCAAATTTACCACTGGCATCCTCCTCCATCTCTGCTGTTTTGGTCCCCTGTTTTTTTCCTGTTGTGTTCGCATTAGGGGGTGCCTTCCCCTCACCATCGGCCAGCTTGCTTTTCCTTTTGCTAGTGCAGGAGTATGCCACCGACCCCATGTGCAGTTTGCTGAAATAGTCAGTGACTGACTTAGTCTCCATGGTTTCAGGCTCCATCTCCATGTGGTCTGAGTGAAGTAACTGCTTGGAAGGCACAACTTTGGGTGGGAGGTCGGTTGCTGGCCTAGCAGCCAGGGCATGTGAGGACTTTGGAGGTAAGCCCCCAGCGGGGGTTTTGGAGGCCGGGAACTCGGTCTGTTCTTCTGCAAGAGGGTGGTAGCCTTCGTGAGTGGCCAAGAACATGCGGGAGAGGTTTTCTGACTGTTTTTGTGCTGTGGCCAGTTCAGAACTCTCAGTCATTTCAGAAGAGTTAGTTTCATTGCCTGAGTCTGACGAAGACTCAGGACTATAAGCCCGCAAGATGGCTACACCTGCATGCCGTAAAAAACAAGAACTGATTAATGGATGCATCAGAGGCACTTGGAGACATGTAAGAAAATGGGACTCGTTATTGTTAAAACAAAATACCAAGTTTTCCCTTTTCAGTAAGGACTCTGAGTTTATTGCATAGTTGTTCCAGAAATGGGGGAGAGATGTGCCTTATGTTTTTTTTTTTTTAAAACAAACAAACAAACAAAAAAAGACAAAGGAAATCACATACACACACAAAAAAAACCCATGATGGTAGTTTCAGCACATTTATGAAATGGGACATATGTGAAATGGAGAACACCACGTAACAGGACTCCAAGGGCAAATGGCTTGGAAGGATGGAATGATATGGTTATCAGTGAATGAATGTAACAATTGTGAAAGAACCTGAATTGTCACTGGTCTGCTGTTCTTCTGACACGGATAGAGCCTCTAGAGCTCCCAGCGTGGAGACGACGGCATTATCCAGTCCCTTCTCACACTTGCCTTCAGTGCTGGTGGGCACAGCATCAATGAGGGACACGGGGATCTCATCATTTTGCAGGCTGCTGCCTTTCTCTTTGTCCTCAGGGAAGGAAGCTGCCTGGGTCTGGGAGTCCTCTTCATCTGAACTGTCTCTAAAGCCAGGTGGGGGTGCGGCAATGGCCATGTTCAAAGAACGCAACAGGAAGTCATCCTCGTTGTCATCACCTTCTGGAGGGGGTAGGGATGTGAGGTCAATGATGTCATCACTTGACCCAGACAGGTTGAGGATGGCCGGCTGGTTCATCTCCCCCACCACGAGGTCCTCCTCACAGCTCACCTCGTCCTCGTCCTCTGCATCATCGGTGTTTTCTGCGTAACAGATGTCGTGCAAGAGGGGCTCCTCAATCCCCTCTGTGGCCTGGAAGCTCTTCACATCGCCTATGTTTGCATACACAGAATTTTCCACAAACTGGATGCCCTCTGCATCTGGAGTGAGATCCAGGCCTTTCATGTCATTGGCACTGCCGATGTAGAGATTTCTCTGCTTCTCCAGCATTTCAGGACTCTCATCTAGTAGTGTTTCATAGCCAAGAGTTGGGGGACTAATACCATCATCCAAGGCGAAGTCTCCAAAAATAAAGGACACTTTAGCTCCTCTCGGAGATTCCTGTGCTTTCTTCAGAGTTTCTGGTCCTGAGAGGGTCAATAGGGACCGCTGAGCTAGACTTCTATAGTCCGCCTCACAGGGGGCCTCCCCGGGCTGGCTCAGCTGCTGGTTAAGTCCATCTGAACTATAGGCGTTGTCTATGTACAAGTGCCGGTGCTCTTTTGGACACATGGTGCTGTCTGTGATCTCCACCGCCTTCTGCTTTGAATCTATGTATGTTATCTGGGCTTCTTGTTCCCCTTCGCCAATAAAGGTTGTCATTTGGGGTATACAGTTCCAATCTGGACCAAGGAGGTTATGCTTCCCCTTGTTTTCAGTTCCTGAAGAGAAAGAATCATGCAAAGACACATTACTGTGCTGTCTGGTTCTGGGTGGAGGGCGGGGCTCGTTTCTGTTTTTTAATTTCATGCCTTGTAGCATCACTTGTGTAAATACAGGTTTACAGCTACCCAAATATAGTACTTGTCAATTCCGGTGTAAGAATTCCTTGGGTTAGGAGAACCGACCTTAACAAAATTGATACTGCATATTGATACTGCATAAACGAGAATTGCTATTTGATCAAATGTAATATCATCTGGGGGTAGGGAAGTATAGCTTAATTCCATCTAACCCTTGGTTCTATTATTAAAAGGCTTCATTTATATCTACGAATGTGAATATACAACGTGCCTTTTACAACCCTTAAAGGTGAGATTTCAGTAGGCTGTTATTTCAGAAAATAGATTTTCCTTTTGTTTGTAAAGTGAGATCTAATATTCCCTAGTTTGTGGAAGAAGATAATGAATGTTTTCCTCACTGAGTTCACAGATGGTCAAAGATTGTCACAGGTTTACCATATATTTTTTTAGGAAATTAACATACATATTATAATGATCCTATAAAACTTCTATCTTCAGTTTTTTGATATCCTAGTGGATGTTAAAATATTCATGTATAAATGTCAGTATGCATGCTAGTGTGTGTATGTATATAAAATGCATAAGGTGGAGTGGTTACAGGTAATGTACTTTGCTCTGTAATTTCTAGGCATAATTAATATTTAGATTAATTTCCATTTTTATTTGTATCATGGGAACTCTTGAAGATTTGATGTTCCTCATGAATTAAAATGACAAAACCCCAGTTGAAATACTATTATTGTGTTTGCTCTTCAAGGGTGTTTCAATCTGGGATTTTGATGTGGGGATTTGCTCTGATATTTAACAAGACAGAGAACTAGGTCATTCTGTTGATACTGCCTTGTAGATTCCAGAGGCACTGTTCTGAGAAAATTTTAGGGCCATACTATTCTCCCATCTGTTCCCTCAAATAGCACAAGTTTGTGTAACTGACATCAGATGTGCAAGACATATGGGGGAAAAGTACAGCTTTACCAAAGAGGTTTCTTCTCCCCACAAATCATGCAATGGACTTAATGCTGAACAATTCTCAGGGTCATTTTAACAAATTCATGTATTTTCATGAACAGTAAGAGATAAAATTTTGAAGACACTGAATTATACACTGGCCATATTTGCATCTTACCTTACAATAAATAAACCTTGTTGGGGGTTCAGCATTATTTTATTAAAAACAACAATTTAGATTATGACTGGGTGTGCCTGTGGGGCGAAGTGTGTGTGTGAGTGTGGATTGTTGCGGGAAGAACAGTAGTTCAGCAAACTTGCATTGTAAGGCAGCTTTAGACCAGGGCTTGGCAAACATTTTCTGTAAAGGCAGGCGCAGATGGTACATATTTCGGTTTTGTGGTCTAACCATTCAATTGAGCAACTACTCAACTTGGCTGTTTTAACATGAAAGTAGCCATAGATGCTACATAAACAAATGGGTGTATGGGTTGAATGGTGGCCCCCAAATGATATGTCCACTCTGTGAATGTGACCTTATTTGGAAAAATGTCTTGCAGAGTTAAGGATCTTGAGATGAGATTATTCTTAATTATCTGCCTGGGCCCTAAATTCAACGGCAGAGAGAGATTTGGGCCACAGAGAAGAGGAGATGACCATGTGAAGACAGAGGCAGAGACTGGAGTTACGCAGCTACAAGGAACGCTGGTGGCCACCAGAAGTGGGAGGAGGTAAGGAGAAACCCTCCACTAAAGCCTTTGCAAGGGAGAATGACCCTGTTAACATCCTGGTTTTGAACTCGTGGCTTCCAAAAGTGTGGGAGAATAAGTTTATGTTGTGTAAAGCTCCCAAGTTTGTGAGAATTTGTTCCAGCAGCCTTAGGAAAGTAAAACAATGTGCGGGGTTGAGTTCCAATAAAACTTTATTTGCAAGAACATGATTTGGCCCATTGACCATAGTTTGCCAACTCTGGTTTAGATGGACGAGAAAGCTGAATAGGTCAGCAGGCTCAAAGCAAGTTGATGGATACTTACTGAGACCCTCCTAAAACCCAGAGGTGTATACCTATGTGCGGCCATGGATTTTGAAAGTGGTTAAAGGCTAATTTTCAGGATAGAGAAGAAGACATGAGGGCTCTTTCTTATTGGAGATCTTGACTAAGGTCTGGGATCAATTTGAGGTGAGATGAAAATATGTGCAGCTGGGTGCGGTGGCTCATGCCTATAATTCCAGCACTTTGGGAGGCCGAGGTGGGCGGATCACCAGGTCAGGAGTTCGAGACCAGCCTGGCCTACATAGTGAAACCCCATCTCTACTAAAAGAAATACCAAAAAATCAGCTGAATGTGGTGGCGGGTGCCTGTAATCTCAGCCACTGAGGAGGCTGAGGCAGGAGAATTGCTTGAATCCAGGAGGCAGAGGTTGCAGTGAGCTGAGATCATGCCACTGTACTCAGTCTGGGAGACAAAGCGAGACTTTGTCTCAAAAAATAAATGTGCTCAATCTGGCTTCTTCCCAGAAGGATCTACTGATTTGGCTTCCTGGAATAATTTTGGAGACATGGAAGAATGTAGGTTGGGGGCTGGAATCTATTCTGTAGCCCAGTCTCCTACAGAGTGGAAGGAGAGAATGAACTAGGGAAGACCTAGGCTGATGGGACTTATGTTCTGTATTTCTTGACTCTCAGATCTTTTGGGAGTTTCTGAAGAGAAGAGTGCTTTTAGCCATTAGAGTATGCTAGGCAAAGACTGCTGTTCAACCTAGGTCTCTCAGTTTCTTTTTGGAGTGTGCTCTCTTTCTCTTATCCTTGCTTCTCTCTCTCTCCACCTACCTCCAGCCCTCTGTCTTTGACAATGGGGAAAGGTATTTGAAACTGGGAGACATGATGGTGAGACTGAAGTCCCATTCTTTCCCCACAATAATAATACTTTCTGTTACTAAGTTTTTGCCTCTTGCAGTTCTATTAAACCTTATATTGTGGGTCACTATGAATCGGACAGAGTGGAGACCCTTATAACTGTAACCATGTTTAGAATAGTAGGTTTGGATTTCTTCATACACCGCTACAATCTTTATAGTCTGTGAAGAAAGGATTGATCTTCAAGATAGATAAACTTTACAGTTTGAAAATAAAAAGCCAAAAACTGGTTTTCCAATAGAAAACAATTGTGTCAAATTGCTGAACTGCTCTTTGGAATTTCTTTTCTTTTTTTAGAGACAGGATCTTGCTTTGTCTTCCAGGCTGGAGTGCACTAGTGCGCTTGGCTCAATAAAGCCTTGACCTCCCGGCTAATGTGATCCTCCCACCTCAGCCTCCCATGTAGCTGGGACGACAGGTGTATGCCACCACACGTGGCTAGTTTTTAAATTTTCTTTTGGAGATACAGGGTTTCACTTTGTTGCTCAGGCTGTTCTCAGGCTCCTGGGCTCAACTGATCCACCCACCTGGGACTCCCCAAGTGCAGAGACTACAGGCATGACCCATCGTGCCCAGCCTTCACACTGGAATTATTTAAAAGGTCAGCATTAAATTGCTCTAAATCTCCTAGCTCAATGAAAACCTGTGGTCATAAAAATGTTTGCTGCCTGTTGGGCATGGTGGCTCACTCCTGTAATCCCAGAACTTTGGGAGGCAGAGGTGGGCGGATCACAAGGTCAGGAGTTCAAGACCAATCTGCCCAACATGGTGAAACCCTGTCTCTACTAAAAATACAAAAGTTAGCTGGGCATGGTGGTACATGCCTGTAATCCCAGCTACTTGGAAGGCTGAGGCAGGAGAATCGCTTGAACATGGGAGGTAGAGGTTGCAGTTAGCCGAGATCACACCATTGTACTCCAGCCTGGGCAACAGAGCAAGACTCCATCTCAGAAAAAAAAAAAAAAAGTTTATTGCCAAACCCAGTGAATACCTGTCACCTCCTTTTTATTCTTTTTCTATATTTTTATATTTTTGAGACGGTCTTGCCCAAGCTGGAGTGCTGTGGCGCAATCGCCACCTCCCGGGTTCAAGCAATTCTTTTGCCTCAACCTCCTGAGTAGCTGGGACTACAGGTGCATACCGCCATGCCTTGCTAATTTTTGTATTTTTACCAGAGGTGGGATTTCACCATGTTGGCCAGGGTAGTCTCTATCTCCTAACCTCATGATCCACCGACCTCGGCCTCCCAAAGTGCTGGGGATTACAGGCGTGAGCCACCACACCTGGCCTTCTGTATTTATTTGTAAATGTTTATGTGTTTCTATCACTTTTTAATTTTTAGAGGTGTAGTCCTATCTCACTACAGCCTTGACCTCCTAGGCTTGAGGTATCCTCCCACCTCAGCCTCCCGTGTAGCTGGGACTACAGGCATGTGCCACCACACCTGGCTAATTTTTATAATTTTTGTAGAGACGGGGTCTCCCTTTGTTGCCCAGTCTGATCTCAAACTCCTGTGCTCAAGTGATCCTCCTGCCTCAGCCTCCTAGTATTGGGATTATAGGCATGAACCACTGCACCCAGCATCTCTGTCATTCTCAGTTCTTTCTGCCACTGTTTTTCTTTCACTGCCAGTTATTTATAGAGTCATTTTAGATGATGTACCTAGATGTTTTTTTCTAATCCTTGCAAGCTAGTTTTTTAATCCCATTTTACAAATGAAGAAACTCAAGCTCAGATTGATTTGACTTGAAAAGTCCAAGTGTTGCCTTCTAACATGGTTTGTCCATCTCTCCTTGTTTCTGGCTTCCTTTTTTCTATGTCTGAGCTGCTTCCACTCACTGGCCATCATAGTAAACTGTGTGTGGGTCTGTATGCATGTGAGAGTGTGTCTACATATTGCAATATATTTATGGAATAAAGATTGATGTTTCTGCTCAGTTTAACAGTGAGAGAATATCCTTCTCTTTTTTCCTCCCTTCATTTTCTCTGAGAAATGCGGGGGGTTGAGGGGGAGAAAAAAAGAGATGCAACAGTAAAATTTGTTTTTAAGAATC